TCGTTTCGACTACAGTGTTGTTTTCCGGGTTTTGTGATGTCACAAAGCGGTCCATTAGAATATCATTAAAATAATTTGAATGGTTGGCGGGTGGGGAGAGGTGAGGTCGTGGTTAGAACCATAGATATGTATATATACACATCTATGGTTAGAACGCTTTGTTGAGTGCATCAGACAAGACGACAAAGAAGAAGTGCTGCTGCAGAGTTAGTGCATCAGAGAAAACCAAGAAGAAGAAGAGCTGCTGTGCTGTAGCATCACATTTTCGGCATGTTTAGAACAATTCTTACAAGTACAACACGACGTAGCTGGGCGCCGCGGACAGACGCCGAACGGCGCCGCCGGTGTGCCTACACTCATAGAAAATAATGTATTTGAATTTTTCAAATGTGGCGCGACGCTGCGCTTCTCGTCCGGTGTGCAGGTGTTGTAATAATGTAAAATATGTGAAAAATACAACCTAGTATGAGAGCATGTTCTAGTACACCCCCAAAACAAAATCAAGACTTTGTAAAAGAGCATAATAGGACCCCTTTAACTGATAAACTGACGGTTTTGACTGTTTGACACTGTAAAGCTACTTTAACACAATAAAGCGCTATATAAATAAAGGTGACCTGACTTGACAATAACATCCACAAACCGTGACCCATTATTGAGGGAAAGTATACAGACAACTAGGGCTGTGCAAAAAATCGAATGCGATTTTTATGCGCATCTTGTCAGTAAAGCTGCTTCTGGTGATTAGTAGTAAATCTCCAGCACGTGCTTTCAGACAGAGCGCCATTTACTACACAGAGCCGTAATTCACTGACAAGCTACACAAAATGGCGTTCAAAATCGCAGGCGATTCATTGCCGAGCCCTACAGACAACCAACATCTACTTGGATTTGAGCCTGCAGCATCCTCAAACATCATTTAATTCACTGTTCATTGACATTGTAGGGTATCAGACCGAATCAGACAATCTAAGATTTGGTCTAGATTAGTTTATATGTCTTAGATTTATCCAATAAAGCCTTATTCATATTGAAAAGAGAAGTATCTTGTGTTTTGTGCTCACAAGTTAATGTCTTAAACTGCCGATCTTGTTACTGTGCTAATTAATAGTGTTTTCACTATATTTTGGATATAAATATCCATTGCAGAGTTGATGTTATATGGCTCGTTCAATGAATCGCTGGCCGTCTCAGTGAGCAACCGTAAAACAGTGATTCTGTCCAAATTCCCTTTAAAATCTTAAATGATTCCCTTTGAGCTAAATTGACCGGTTTCCCTTACAACATCATCATCACTCCATGTACCTCCATGTGGTCCAGCTGGCGCAGGCGGGCGTTCCTGGTCGTGTTGAGTCGAGCTTTGGTCTCGTCCATCTGAGATTTCAGCACCAGTGATTCATTATAGAGCACAGAGAACTGAGACTGCAGACAGTGATACTCAGCGCTCTCTCTGGCCACCTCCTCAGCCCTGGACAACAGCTCCACCTGACAGAGAGACAACAATGCATGCCTTGCTAATGAATCTGAATCATTCTAATAGCATTATTCATATAAAGTGCACTATTATGGTTTACAATACTGCATTCAATTGCTATTCATTTCACGTCAACAGTTTCCATTCCAGTTCCAATTCACATTTATTTTTAATAATGCTTAGTTATTAATAATGTATACTTTTTTTTTCATTCAGGGAAGCTGCAGTAAATCCCACTGATACTAAAGGAGTGATTCACTCTGTTCCAGAGTATCTGGGTCTTCAAGTGTTAGCTGATAAGGAGCTTTCTTTCAAGGACAAGATATGAATGTGTGGGGTTTGTAATTGTTCACTCCGAAAGAGCTGAACAGTTGACTACCTCTAAATATCAGATTTAATCTGGTATTGCCTGAACAGGAGGCAATACTCACACAATAAGCATAGGATGGATCTAACAAGGTAATGGTGTATGTGGTCTCGAGGGCTTTACCTTCATGTTATTGTTCTCCTGGTAAACCGTCTGCAGGTCCTGCTGCAGCTTCTGGAGCTCACCAAGCCGATTATCTGCCAGCTCTCTGTTCTGCTCCAACTCACTGTTCATCTCCTCAAACTAACAAGAGATGAAAAAGAGATTTAATAGCATATTGTGATTCAATGTTAAGACAGTGTTCAGGTTCAAAACAAATCATTTTATATAGCAACATTTTCTAATCATTTTGCCAAGGCTCTACCAATCTCAACAACTTATGTTTGAGCAGGCTAGCAAATATTAAAGATACACTAACATTACCATTCATAACTTTGGGGTAAAGATATTTATTTATTGACAGAAATTAACAAAGAACTACATTCCACTAAATTGATCAAAAGAGACTAAATTGATCAAAAAGAGACTTATGGTGTTTTTACTCAATTTTTGATCAAATAAATGCAGCTTTGGTGAGCATAAGAGACTTCTTTCAAATACAATTAAAAACCTTAAAGACTCCAAACTTTTGAATGGTAGAGTACACTTGCTAGAGCTGAATATATATATGATGCACCTGCAAGTCCCAATACTCAACGGAAGGAACCTACAGTGTGCAAATAGCTGCTTACTTCACGTTTACAGTGAGATTCACTGACACCAAGTGCAAATATTGACACTAAATGTTCATATGACTGGTCGTTTACCTTTCTTTTGTTGATCGTGATGGTTCCACATACACTGCTTGCTTCGCCATACACCTTATAACCTTTACTGTTCACCTGGTTATGATGGAAGAGCACAATATCTATCAGTTCTGCCACATTGTAAAACAAGAAAAATATTATATCTTGGTTTTACTATTACAAATGTCTATCAGAGACAACATAAAACAGAATGCAAGTTCACCCTCAAGAGAACTTTGAAATATCCCAGTGTTTTTTGTTTTTAAACCACTGTCATTTGCTATTATTGCAGTAACATTCACTACATTACTGGTCACTGACATCAATGTAGGTAATTAATAAAAGCCTGTATTATCCATAACAAGTAGCCTAAATCAAAGACTAAATACCCACGACTGAGGTCCCTTGAGCAAAGCACCGAACCCCTAAATGGCTGGCTGCCCACTGCTCCGGGTGTGTGTGTGTGTGTGTGTGCACTTGGATGGGTTAAATGCAGAGTACAAATTCCAACACCATACTTGGCCACACATCACATCACTCATTAATTAACTCATTAAAATAGTTCTTTGGCTATTCGTTAAGGATATTTTTGGCCCAGGTGATGTCAGCCGAAAAGGAAAGACTTAGATGAAATATTACAGTACACTGTAAAAAAAAATGAGTGTAATTTTAAAGGGGTCCTATTATGCTCTTTTACAAAGTCTTGATTTTGTTTTGGGGTTGTACTAGAACAGGCTCAAACTAGATTGTTCGAAAAACATTATTTTTCATATATTTTACATTATTACAACTCCTCTCTCCCCAGTCTGGCATGAACGGCTCGAATAGTTCCTGTATCAAATGAAAGCCCGCCTTCTGAAATACGAAATGTGCTGTGATTGGTTAGCTGGGCCAGTGTGTGTTGTGATTGGTTATTGGTTATTGGTGATTGGCAGCCCCTTACTGAATGTCACGCCCCTTACCATAGCCGCCTGCGAGCTTCAGTGTAAATATTGCGTCAAAATCAAATCAATTTGAGAGCGATTTAAACCCAGATGATTGTAAGCACTCTAAGTTCGTCTGCTTTGGGAAAGCTAGCGTGTCTCCGACTCGTTGCCTTCTCTAGTGCAGCTCAACCAGGTCTCGTCCCATTCGTCGATATTTGTGACATCACAAATCCCGGAAAATATGCGTTGTAGTCCAAACGAGTCGTTCGTTGTAGTTTTTGAAAAGTGATTTCTGTTCAATAAAATATCTCCTTTTGAATTGGACTTTGAGCTTTGTAATTTTGCAGATCTTTTTTATGCTCAAACAGCAACATTACAGACTAACTAAAGTTGAAAAAGTGAAAAAGCATAACCAAAAGTGGAAAAGCATAAGCCACTTTAACTGTAAAATATTGTAAAAACGCTATGGAAAAAAACAACTGTTAATAGGTTAACTGTTAACAGTAAGTTCCCATACTATATCCCATGCAAGGTCAAAAAAAAAATAAATCCAACATATGCATGGATGAATTGACCACTATAAGATCAATAACATGCATTTAGAAAATACACAGGGAGAATTTCCATTTAACACTGCCTATAAGATGGTAAATAGGGCCTATTTTGATTTCATGGTGACTTTGTAGGGTAAAACCGCTCACCCTTTCCAGCACCTCTGCAAGGTGCGTGTTAAGACGATTCTCTCTCCGTCTGATTTTCTCCATGTCCCACTGCAGCTCCTCAATGAGAACCTGCAGCTCGCTGATTCTGTTATCAGCACGATTCGCCGCGCGGCCCAGCGGACGAGACTAAACATGCACATACACTGTAAGCACTCAATATGACAAGCTTACCAGATAAACATGTCAACAAATCAACCACCAACCTCGCTGGTCATGTGACTATGCTTCTGCTGGAGGCTGTCGGTCAGCTGCCGGAGACGTTCATTCTCATCGGTCAGGAGGGTGTTGAGGCAGACAGCGACATCCCAGAGACTGCCATCTGAAGGAAGTCACAAGAAAATGCACGTTAAACGCTGAATGAACAGAAAGCTAAGACATGATTAGTGACCCATGAGAGTAGAGTCTGTCTCACCTGTTCCAGACTCCATATCTTTCTTTAGCTGGTCTACTGTGTTCTTCAGGTTCTCGTAGATTTCTACCACACGTCTGGCCTGCTTACAGCTGGACTCCAATCGCTCCTGCAGCTCTGCGTCTATCTCCTCACTGGTGCTGCTGGCCAACATGGCCAGAAAAGAGCTCGCTGCCTCCCCCTGTTGACCTGTATGAAACATTACAACAAAAACAGATTTCTGTCTGAGTTAAAGGCAAGACTAAACCCATACAAAAAACAGAGATCTGGCCTTGAAAAAAACAGGCTGTCCATTTTAATGAAGGGGAACAGAGCGAATGCTGAATTTACTGAATTTATTGAAGTGTTCAACCACTGTGAGACTCTACTGGCAGTTTCTGAAATATATATATTTTTTTTTTAAGACCTGCACAAACAAAATTAATAGCATATGTCCATACAAACAAACCCATACATAATTATTTTACTTAATTAAATAGGCTGGGACACATATCCAACTGCAAAACAGTTTAAGATACTGCATAATGTTTTATTTAATATGTACATATACATGGTTTATTTAGTAATATATCAATAAATTTGAGGTTGACTGGTATTGGATTTTGCTGATATTATAATAAAGTTTACAGTTTAATTTAAGTTTATTGCCACATCAGCTTCACATGCTATTTCATGGCAAAGATTATACATTAGAAAAACAATATAGTAGTACACAATACAAAATACAATATAAATTAATTAATAAAAACAATTATAAAACAACGTATTAAACATTAAATTCTATAAAAGATTCTTTAATTTTTTTCCCCCAAAGAAATTGTAAAAGCTTTTTTTTATAATGTGTTTGAATGCAATAAAAAGATTATTGTGACAATATTAGTCAAATCTATATATTGTGTCACAAATAATAATCAGAAAAAAAGATTTTATGCATAAAGACTTCAATTATAAACAAGACCGAAATGCACCAGGCCTTTTATGTACTCTTATATTCATAAGACATAAACACCATAAATTAAATATTGTGATAATTCATCAACAGTATGCAATCACTTGGCATAAATGTGCGGTGTACAGTGATTGTGAACAGCTCTGAAACCACAAGCTTGAAAAAAAAGCAACAATGTTGTATTTTTACTTTGAATGTGCAGCCCTCACATTTCTTTCATTAAATCATACCCTTGTAAAGTTCATTAATCACATTAAGCTGTATCATGTATCCGTTTAAATTTTAGATCCAAGATGGCATCGTGTGTTTGCACACCTGGCGAATAAAGCTAATTCTGATTCTGATGATTCCTGTTTTTCCGTCCTCAAATTTAAGACCTAGTAAACTGATAATCAACACTTTTGTTATATGAAGACACCGTGCTGATCAGTTATGATCTTTAATATTTTTTTCAATGGACTGCGGTTGAGTCTGAGGCCCCAAGCCAAGACTGTGACATAAGGTTTTGTGAGACAGCAAAAAAAAAAATGTTTTATTATTTTTTTTCCAAAATAGTAAGAAACATCTGCCAGATTTGTGCAATCCATTGATTTCCATCTACAACAGTTTTTTTGTACCTCTGTCTTTTGCTCTCTCCTGGTTTGAGTCTCCATCCGGTTCTGGTGTTCCAGGTTTTAAGCTGCGTCCTTCAGGAGGTTGGCTTTCCACAGGCTCACTCCCTGATTGGTCATAGCGACGCACAATTAATCGCACATTTTCATCGAACTGAAAAAGAACGATGGAACAAAATTCAGCATTGAAAATGGTAACATTTGAGAGAGATACAACTTGAATTTATGTAGATTGTAAATACAACCAAAATGACCTGGTTCCAGTATCGGTTTAGAATCAACAAACTCGCGTCATCTGTCGCTTGACGAGTCTCCAACCTCTCAACTCTCTCCCTCAGTTCATCCTCAATCACCTGCAGCAACACAACAGTCTATGTTTACATGTATACATCTGTATCACTGTTTCCTGCACCACTTTTCAGTGGAAAATCACAATGTATTACAATAACAGTATAATAAAACATTATATAGTGCATTCAAAGGTTTGAGATTTCTGAAAGAACGTTTTTAAAAGAAGACTCTTATGCTCACAAAGGCTACATTTATTTGATGAAAAATTCTGTAAAAACTGTAATATTGTGAAATATTATTACAATTAAAAAATAACTTATTTGATATTTTAAAACATAATTTATTCCTGTGATGCAAAGCTGAATTTTCAGCATCATTACTCCAGTCTTCAGTGTCACACGATATGATCCTTCAGAAATCATTCTAATATGTTTTGCTCTTCAAGAAACATTTATTATTATTATCAATGTACAAAAACAAAAAAAACAGCTGTGCTGCAAAAATTGACATTTTTAAGGATTCTTTGATGAATAGAAATTTCAAAAGGAAAGCATTTATTTGAAATAGAAATATTTTGTAACATCATACATAAATATAAAGGTCTTATCTACCTGTCTTTGGTCAAGGGCTTCTCCCAACTTCCTGTTTTTGATCTGCAGAGCTTTAATATCTTGTTCTTCCTGCAAGAATTAAATACAATGTCAATGGGAACCAAATGATAAGAGACCAGATTCAGAAATCAGTTTTAAGATTCACAATTCAGAATTGAAGAGATTTAGAATTCATTTTTCCATAGCAACAATATATTACCGATAAATACACAAAATTATTAGCACAGACAGACTCCACTAGTGCTGGGCGGTATGACCAAAAATTTATATCACGGTATTGGATATTTGTGGCGGTCAGTGTGGATATTGTGGATGAGTTCTTCTATCATCATCACGTTCTATTAGTTCTACAGCTTCAGTTTCAGAACTTTCACGCTTAGTAACACATACAGCTGTTCCCTCACCACAGTGCAACAGTGAAAAACCCTTTCAAACAGTGTCGCGTTCCGAACGTTGTTTAAGCGACATACACCGATATTGCGGTATTTTAAAAATTCATATCATAACAAAAATAAACACCGGTATTCGGTATGAACTGGTAGATCGCCCAGCACTAGACTCCACATATCTGAAAATGTATGTAAGATGTAAGACATTATATATAAAAAAAAAACCTTGGGGAAACACAAACACCAGAAAGCATGAATCACACATTAAGATCTCAGAAAGCATCTGACCTGGTTGGACCCTCCACCCAGTTTGATGACCGTTTCTACAGCAGTGGCAGTGCTTCCTCCAGATCCAGTGCTCATTCCCTCTCCATCCTCAGCGCCCTTCTTCTTCTCTGGAGGAGCGCTGAGTGAGGCAGAGCTGCTGGGATCGCTGGGGCGCTTCTGACCTGACATCCTGCACCGGCGGCAGCAGCTCACTGAGAGACAGACACCATCACAGTCAACACACAATCATACGTCATCACAACAGTGCCGAACATTCGTTACTGAACGGTGTTAAAATAAACCGCCTTTACACAGTCAATGTAGAGCAGAGAAACAAGAGAATCCAGCAATCAGGGGGAAATCCTTGGAGAAATGCTCAGTTACGCTTCAAAACAGCTGGACTAAGTTACAATACACGAGCTAATAAGATGATAAAAATAAAACAATAATAATAATTATTGTTGTTTTATTTTATTATTCATGTTGAATAACAAATATAATGGTTGTTTATCATTATTATTGTAACCTCATAACAAGAGTGACACTATTTTAAACCCTTAATACTAACATTTAAATGTAAATATGCCTGACATATATATATAAATCTACACATTTCAGATTTCAATTTGAATGTTTTTCTTTATGTATTAATAATAATAACAATATAACAACATTTGCATTATTAGTAGTAGTATTCAAATAGAACTAAACATTACACTAAGCCTAAACTGATTTGGACAGGAGTAGTTACTAGTAGCATGAAACCCTGATCACATCACATGGTATCAGATCAGTATCATATGGTAATATCATGGTACCTTATTAATAAATACCATGAGACTGAATGTTTATTTCATATTATTTCAGAGAATAGAAGGGTATTGTATTGTTAGTGGACACATTAACACACACTCGTAGCCGTCATTAATACATTATAAGTTACGCGAATGTAAGAAAATATAACGTTATTTGTAGTAAAATCCCGAGCTCAACACCGATCTATGAAAACACTGAGATCTGACGCCTCTCAGCGCTGAAAACTCACTCTGCATTATTAATAACGCTCTCACAAAGCAGTTATCGCACTTGTGTTAATGTCTTACCTATTTTCGATTTCTATTGATTGTGAGATGGTTTTGTGGATGTAGCTGCTGCGCTTCATCCGAGCCTCCTTCCGGAAACACAGCGCTGTTGCTCTTCTCCTTCTGCTGCTGCTGCTGCTGGAGTCACGAGAACTGCAGCGCCGCCACACGGCGGAAGGACTGACTGCAGGTCAGCAAAAATCATCACAATACAACACAACTCAATTCTGTATGCTGTTTTTATTGCATTAATTTTGGGGCATACAAAATGGATCAGATTAAATGAAAGGAGACATGGCTTTGATGAGTTCAGCATAAATATTATGAAATATTCAAGCAAATTAATTAGGCTATTTTTGTAAATAAATGCTGTATTTTTTTATTCATCACTTTTCTACACATCGAATAATCTAAATATATAATCTAAATCTAATATATATCAGGGTTTTCCACAAAAATATTAAGCATTAAGTATTTTCAACATCAAGTCAGCATATTAGAATGATTTCTGAAGGATCATGTGACACTGCAGACTGGAGTAATGATGCTGATATATTTTGCTTCATCTTATAATTTACCCATTGGACCCATTATTAAATGGGTTATTGGCATTTCAGTAAACTACAGTAAAATAATAATAATTTAAAAAATAAAACCTTTTACATTACCTTTTATTTATCTTTTCGTTGTCAGTATTCTCTAGTCTGTGTAGTAGAAGTTGTGTTCAGCAGTGTTTAGTACAAGCACTTAGTGTAATGGGTGACTTGTTAGACTTCCAAACAATCATTTTCAAAATCAATGTTGCTGTTTTAAGAACAAGTCTTTGCAATTAAAACTGCTTTAAAATCTCTAAAGCAACTGGCAGATGTTCTTATACACAACATTCATACACAACATTCAAATGGAGGAATTTAAAAGCTATTTACTGTGTGTTTACATTATTTTGTCCAACCTCTGTGTGTGCGTGTGTGTGTGTGTGTGTGTGTGTGTGTGTGTGTAGTGAGAAAGAGAGTGAGAGAGAGAACAGTACACATTTAAAGGGGTCATATGATGCGATTTAAATTTTTCCTTTCTCTTTGGAGTGTTACAAGCTCTTGGTGCATAAAGAAGATCTGTAACGTTGCAAAGACTAAAGTCTC